GTACCCCCCACCTTACCCCCTGTGGACCCATTTGCAGCTTCCCAGTTCCTCCTTGGAGCCACCCAAGAGCGCAGGAATCGCATTAAACATGGATTTTTTTTTTAATTTGGCTTGTTGTGATTTGGCTTCATTGGGATTTTTGCATTTGCAGAGAGCTCACGTTAGGAAAATTCCTAACACCTAGCATATTCTGTGGGTGCTAGGGATCTGAATTCAGTCCTCAAGAAAATTCCTAACACCTAGCATATTCTGTGGGTGCTAGGGACCCGAATTCAGTCCTCAAGAAAATTCCTAACACCTAGCATATTCTGTGGGTGCTAGGGACCCGAATTCAGTCCTCAAGAAAATTCCTAACACCTAGCATATTCTGTGGGTGCTAGGGACCTGAATTCAGTCCTCAAGCTCTCGCAGGCAGTGTTTCACTGAGCTATCACTCTAGCCCATTTAAAAATATGTTATTTATTTATTTATTTATTTATTATGCATACAATATTCTGTCAGTGTGTATGCCTGCAGGCCAGAAGAGGACACCAGACCCCATTACAGATGGCTGTGAGCCACCATGTGGTTGCTGGGAATTGAACTCAGGACCTTTGAAAGAGCAGGCAATGCTCTTAACCTCTGAGCCATCTCTCCAGCCTATTTTCAATAGTTGGGAGGGGTGGCACACTCGTTTAATCTCAGCACTCGGCAGGCAGAGGCAGGCGGATCTCTGAGTTCGAGGCCAGCCTTGGCTACAGAATAGCCAAGACTATTTCATAGAGCAGCCCTGTCTAAAAAAACAAAGTAAAATAAAATAAAATATTTTCAACAACAAATTATTCAAAGAAATTTTCATTAAAATGGCTAGTAGGTTTTTTTTTTTTGGCTTCAATATCTGACTCCCCCCCACATACACACAAATTAGTGTTTAATTTAACATTCAATATTCCCAGAGGGTGAATTCAGGATCTCATTTAATATTATTATGAATTTGCTCATATTTGACATTTAAACCTGTACTAGAGAAACAACAGGCCCTGGATGTTTGCATTCTCAGTCTGTCTCCCGTTCTTCAGCAGGAATTTGAGTTCTCGGCAAGCTTTGCAGTACGCTGGAGCTTGTCATTACAAACCACAGGCTGTAGTCAGTGCATGTGGGAAGCCTGCACCAGCATCTGTGCAGAATCAGCAGGTTTGGATTCATAGGCGGCCTGGGCTGAGCTGGAGTCATGTACCAGCCTGCACTGGGACAGTGGTTCCCACCAGGAGACCACCTCCCACAGGTGACCTGAAACCTTGCTTTTTGCTGTCTGCATAGCAACTCACAAGATCACAGGTCTTGGTTTTTTTGGTTGGTTGTTTTTTTTTTTTTTTTTCCGAGACAGGGTTTCTCTATAGCTTTGGAGCCTGTCCTGGAACTAGCTCTTGTAGACTAGGCTGCCCTTGAACTCACAGAGATTCGCCTGCCTCTGCCTCTCCCGAGTGCTGGGTTTAAAGGCGTGCGCCACCACCGCCCAGCTAAGATCACAGATCTGTTACCTGGGAGGGAACCAACAGTTCTCCTCCTTAGCCTGTTATGCCCAGATCATTGTGTATCCCCCAAAGCCAACTAGGAGACCGAGTCCTGTACGTAAAAGCAAAGAGCCTTTATTCTTACACAAGTTTGCAAACTTGGACTCTCCATGTGTCCAATGTGTTGGAGTGATTAGACGGCCCCAAGCTCAGTTAGAGTTGGGTTTTTATAGTAGCAAAGGTAGGGGTGAGGGATTTCTAAGGTTTAGAAACCCTGATTGGCCGACATTTGTCAAGGGTGTCCTGGTGTGCTTGCTGGCAGGTGATCCTATCTATAATGGTTGCAGTGTTAGGAATTTCCTCTGGATGGTCTGTGCCATCTGTGTGGGTGGTCTCAGTTTGTCAAAACCAGGTCCTACAGGTCTCCAGCAGCTCCTGGCAAGGAAACTAAAGTATAGAAGAGGGAAATGATGAGTTCCAGGTCAAAATCTAAGCATAACTTTCATCACACTGTGCTCTGTTATCTGTTCTAGAAAATACTCCAAAGAAGCCATATATTGTTGTGCAGATCAAAGAGACGGGTATTGTTTAGAGCCATACCCATAGTCTGCCCAGCTTCCAGTGTGAGGAAACACGAGACTGTGATTCCCTGCAAACAGCAACTTTTGAAAGAGCTGCTTTGTGGTCCCCTATAGTAAAACTTGTATTGCAAACACACACACACACCACCACCACCACAAAAAAACAAGCATTTATAAATGAGTTTCGAGGCCACAGCCTAAAACTGGAGCAATACCACACCATGCACCCTTTATCAGATGAACATGTTGAAAATAGACACGTGAAATATGCTTGTCCATCCCGCACCTGGTGGCTCATCAGCTGGGAACCAGGGGCATCAAGCTACCAGACAGAGGTTTTACTGTGAAATGAGGAAACAAAGCAAAGTGTGGGTTAAAGTTGCCGCAAAACCACAACCTGAAACAAAGTGTTCTATTGGTGTGCGCAAGGTAGGTTTCCATTGCTCACAATTGGTTCTGTCCATCATGGAAAATTTCCCAGTTTTAAAAACTAGATTTTTTTTTTTTTTAAGATTTATTTATTATGTATACAGCATTCTGCCTGAATGTATGCCTGCAGGCCAGAAGAGGGCACCAAATTTCATCATAGATGGTTGTGAGCCATCATGTGGTTGGGAATTGAACTCAGGACTTCTGGAAGAGCAGTCAGTGCTCTTAACCTCTGAGCCATCTCTCCAGCCCTAAAAACTAGATTCTGGGAAAAGCTGGCACTAAGTATTTCTTATGCTCATGAATCCAACACAGCTCATTAATCCCTTCTGGTTTTTGCATTTCCTGCTCCCTCTGCCTGGGACCCTTCCTGTTTCCTCGATACAGTCAAGAGTCATCTTCTTGTACAGTTTTGTATTTCATTATTTTATGTATATAGGTGTTTTGCCTGCATGTGTGTCTGTAGACCACGTGTGTGCAGTGCCTGGAGAGGACAGAACTAGAAGTTACACAAGTGTATACATAATTAAAAAATAAATCTTTTTTTTTAAAGAAAGTAAGTTTCCATGGTGCTACCAGTCAAGTTAACTTTCCTATCCAAGTTTCTCAGTCCATTTAGGTCTTCTAGGTAATTGACCCTTCTGAAGACAGAACATGGCTCTAGGAGGTATTGACATGTATTGGATGCTGTGGGGGAAGAGTTCAAGGAAATAATGCTTTGCTCTGATTGGAGACTTTATTTATTTATTTATTTTGGTTTTTCTTTTTTTTTTATTTATTTATTGAAGATTCCTGCCTCTTCCCCGCCACCGCCTCCCATTTCCCTCCCCCTCCCCCAATCAAGTCCCCCTCCCTCATCAGCCCAAAGAGCAATCAGGGTTCCCTGCCCTGTGGGAAGTCCAAGGACCACCCACCTCCATCCAGGTCTAGTAAGGTGAGCATCCAAACTGCCTAGGCTCCCACAAAGCCAGTACGTGCAGTAGGATCAAAAACCCATTGCCATTGTTCTTGAGTTCTCAGTAGTCCTCATTGTCCGCTATATTCAGCGAGTCCGGTTTTATCCCAGGCTTTTTCAGACCCGGGCCAGCTGGCCTTGGTGAGTTCCTGATAGAACATCCCCATTGTCTCAGTGTGTGGGTGCACCCCTTGCGGTCCTGAGTTCCTTGCTCATGCTCTCTCTCCTTCTGCTCCTGATTTGGACCTTGAGATTTCTGTCCGGTGCTCCAATGTGGGTCTCTGTCTCTGTCTCCTTTCATCGCCTGATGAAGGTTAATATTCAGGAGGATGCCTATATGTTTTTCTTTGGGTTCATCTTCTTATTTAGCTTCTCTAGGATCACGAATTATAGGCTCAATGTCCTTTATTTATGGCTAGAAACCAAATATGAGTGCGTACATCCCATGTTCCTCTTTTTGGGTCTGGCTTACCTCACTCAGGATAGTGTTTTCTATTTCCATCCATTTGTATGCAAAATTCAAGAAGTCATTGTTTTTTACTGCTGAGTAGTACTCTAATATGTATATATTCCATACTTTCTTCATCCATTCTTCCATTGAAGGGCATCTCGGTTGTTTCCAGGTTCTGGCTGAAAGACTTTGAGGCACCTTAGCACTACTGCACCCCCCTTCCTGGGAACCAGGACCCTGGTAACCAACCACGCGTGCATGGGAGCTTTGAGTACTTTCCATCCCCATTGTAGTCTTTCTTCAATAGACCCGAACCCTGGAACTGGGGTGAGACGACCTGCGGGTGTTCCTCCTTGTAACCGCCATAACATTGATCAAGTAGAGTTAGCTGACCATTGTATGAACTAGTCAAAATAGTTGACAAATGATTTTTGGACTTTCCCTTTGATTCTATACTACCCCCTCCCTGATTTTGTATTTTTTTTTCCTTTAAAAGAGCTTGTAATAGACAAAGCAGGCATCCTTCTCCTCTCGAGGCTGAGGGACCTCTGCCATGGCAGAATAAAAATTCCTCTTGCTATTGCATCAACCGTGCTGTGAGTGTCTCTTGGGGCAACCTCCTCCTTGGTGGGGCTTTAGGGCCCAACATTTGGTGCGTTGGCCGGGAAGTGCTGGTCGCCCTCAGACCCATTCCTGACCCGGTTGGAGGTAAGAGCGCGCTCGTCTGAATGTTTTATGTTTGTCTATTTCTGTTATTGTGCCTTATGTTTATGACCATCAGAAATTTGGAGGAACATTGTACCTGCACAGGGCTAGTATTTGAAAGGGACCAGGCAGTGGGACAGACGTGTACGGGAACACTCCCTGGCCCAGCCATGGAGGACGCTTCACAGGCAATTTATGAAACTAGGAGGGACCAGGTCATCTTAGTTTCTAGGGAGTGTGGCTCTTATCGCCCACTCTCTTCCAGGTTTGTAATATCAGTTTTACATCAGTCTGTTGCCCTGCGGCTCTCGGTCTTGAGCCTGTGTCTGTCATTTTGTATTGTTGTTTTTGTCTTTGTGTTCGTTTTTGAGTTGGAATCTAGTGCAATGGGACAACAAATAACTACCCCCTTAACTTTGACTTTAGACCACTGGAAAGAGATTGAGGACAGAGCTCGCAACCAGTCTATGGTAATCCGAAAGAAACGCTGGCAAGCGTTCTGTTCTGTGGAGTGGCCCACTTTCGTAGTGGGCTGGCCACAGGACGGAACATTTAACCTGAATACTATTTTGCAGGTTAAGACGAGAGTCTTTCAGCCTGGCCAGCAGGGCTGTCCTGATCAAGTTCCTTACATCGTAACTTGGGAGAGCTTGTCCAGAGACCCTCTGCTCTGGGTCAAACCATTTGTCCCGTCTACGGGAGCCGGAAACCCAGTACTGGCTCCCTGGCCCTCCACCACCCCTTTGACTACGAGGACGGCAGCAACCCCAACTGCCCCTCCCCTGGACCCGTTGTCCTCTCTCTTCCCAGTGCAGGAGCGACCGACCGAAACAGAAGTCCCAGACCCAGACACCACCAATCCTCACTGACAACCAGTCCGACCTCCTGCTTTTTGACCCTCCTCCTCCCTATCCCCAGCCTCTTCTGCCCCAGGCCGAGGCAGCCCCCCCTCGCTGCTCCTGTTCCCGAGGTGCCTGCTGAACCTGATATAGATCCTGACAGGCCCCATAGCCCTGACACGACTGATACTGCTGGGGGGGGGGCGGGGAAAGGGGGGGCTAGTTCACAGTCCACAGGCCGGCTGCGTCTCCACCGCGGGACATCTGCAAAGGAAAGGTGGACTTCCCAAGCACTCCCCCTCCGCACAACGGCTGACCAATTTCAATACTGGCCCTCTTCAGCCTCTGATCTTTATAATTGGAAATTTCATAACCCTTCCTTTTCCCAGGACCCCGAGGCCCTTACAGAATCTGTTCTGATTACTCACCAGCCCACTTGGGATGATTGCCAACAGCTTTTGCAGATACTCCTCACTACAGAGGAAAAACAGCGCGTTTTCCTTGAAGCTCGGAAAAATGTCCTAGGAGCTGACGGAAGGCCAACCCAGTTGCCAAATGAGATAGAGGATGCCTTCCCTTTGACCCGACCCAATTGGGACTTCAATACTCCAGCTGGTAGGGAGCGACTTTGTCTCTACCGCCAAATTCTGTTAGCGGGTCTCCCAGGAGCCGGCAGACGGCCCACTAATTTGGCTAAGGTAAGAGCAATAATACAGAGGCCTGAGGAAACACCTGCAGGATTTTTAGAAAGGCTATTGGAGGGGTACACAATGTACACCCCTTTTGATCCCATGGCAGCGGATCGCCAGGCTGATATAATAACGTCTTTTATAAGCCAGTCAGCACCTGACATTCGTAGCAAGCTGCAGAGGATGGAGGGACTGCAGGGTTACTCCCTCCAAGATTTAGTAAAGAAGGCAGAGAGAATTTTTAACAAAAGAGAGACACCAGAGGAAAAGGAAGAAAGAAGGCGCAAGGAACAGGAAGAGAGAGAGGACAAGGGAGATAAAAGGCATAGTCGTGAGTTAAGTAAGATCTTGGCCACAACAGTATGCAGTGTAGAGCAACCTAAGAAGCGCCAGGACAAAGATAGGGGAGATAAAAGGCGGCCATGAGTGGACCGAGATCAGTGTGCCTATTGCAAAGAGAGAGGACATTGGATCAAGGACTGCCCAAAACGTCCAGCTGAACCCAAGAAAAAGCCAGTTCCTGTCCTAGCCCTGGAAGACAGTGATTAGGACGGCCAGGGCTCAGAACCCCCCCCCCCAGCCCCGGGTAACCCTTCTAGTGGGGGGCACCCTACCACCTTTTTGGTAGACACCGGAGCCCAGCATTCGGTCCTCACCCAAGCAAATGGACCTTTGAGCTCAAAAACCTCTTGGGTTTAGGGGACCACCGGGGGAAAGATAGACCACAGAAAGAAAAGTTAATTTAAACACTGGTCAGGTGACTCATTCCTTCCTCATGGTGCCAGAATGCCCCTACCCACTGCTGGGCACAGACCTCCTGTCCAAAGTTGGGGCACAAATTCACTTCTCAGAAAATGGGGCCTCAGTCACTGACAATACCGGCCAGGCTCTTCAAATTCTAACTTTAAGATTAGAGGACGAACATAGACTGTTTGAACTGCCTCCTCCCTCGGAGCTGCCCATTGAGGACGAATGGCTCCATGATTTCCCCCAGGCCTGGGCGGAAACCGCAGGTATGGGGCTGGCAAGCAATCAGCCTCCTCTGATAATAGAGCTAAAACCATCAGCCACTCCAGTTTCCATAAGATAATACCCCATGAGCCGCGAGGCCCGAGAAGGAATCAGGCCCCATGTTCAGAGACTTTTAACACTGGGCATCTTAAAGGCCTGCCATTCCCCCTGGAACACACCTCTTCTCCCAGTGAAGAAGCCAGGCACAGGGGACTACAGACCAGTCCAAGATTTAAGGGAACTTAATCGCCACACTCTAGACATTCATCCTACGGTGCCCAATCCTTATAATCTCTTAAGTACCCTGCCTCCAACCCATGTATGGTACTCAGTACTTGATTTAAAAGATGCTTTTTTCTGTCTGAGACTTAGCCCTCAGAGCCAGCCATTGTTTGCCTTTGAATGGAAAGATCCCGATTCAGGAGTTTCTGGGCAGCTCACCTGGACGAGACTACCCCAGGTATTCAAGAATTCTCCAACTCTATTCGATGAGGCCCTACACCAGGATCTGGCCAGTTTTCGCACCACCAGTTCAGAGGTAATCTTACTCCAATATGTAGATGACCTCCTGCTGGCCGCAGATACTGAGCAGAAATGCCTACTCACCAGATTAGATGAATTGGGCTACAGGGCATCTGCTAAAAAGGCACAGATCTGCAAGAAGCAAGTAGCCTACCTGGGGTACCCCTTGGAGGGTGGACAGAGATGATTAACAGACAGTCAGAAGCAGGCCGTGGCACAAATTCCCCCTCCCAAAGGGGCACGAGAGGTCCAAGAGTTTCTGGGAACTGCAGGTTTCTGTACGTTATGGATACTGGGTTTCGCTGAAATGGCCGCCCCACTGTATCCGCTTACCAAAGCCAACATCCCTTTCTCCTGGGGAGAGGACCAACAACGGGCTTTCGATAAAATAAAAAGGGTCCTCCTTTCGGACCCTGCTTTGAGTCTCCCTTATGTTACCAAACCATTCACCTTATACGTAGATGAGAACAAGGGGGTAGCAAAAGGGGTGCTGACTCAGAAACTGGGACCCTGGAAAAAGCCAGTGGCCTACATCTCCAAAAAGATAGACAATGTGGTGACAGGATGGCCCCCTTGCCTCCGTATGGTAGCAGCTGTAGCTACCCTGGTCAAAGATGCAGATAAATTGACTCTGGGCCAACCGCTGACTATAATAGCATCTCATGCTTTAGAGACTGTAATTCGTCAACCCCCTCATAGATGGCTCTCGAATGCCCGCATAACCCACTACCAGTCGCTATTGCTCAACCCTGAACATATCACATTTGGAAATGCGACGTTGCTGAACCCCGCCACCTTGCTCCCCAATTCGGAACCCACTGTTTGGGTACCTCATGACTGTCACCCGATATTGGCAGAATACCACGGGACCAGGGAGGATTTGACTGATTGCTGGCTTCCTGATGCAGATTATACCTGGTTCACAGACGGCAGCAGCTTCTTCAAAGAAGGTGAGCGAAAGGTGGGGGCGGCGGTGGTGGATGGACAAAATACCATATGGGCACAGACATTGCCCCCAGGAACCTCTGCCCAGAAGACAGAATTAATAGCCCTGACTAAGGCTTTAGAGCTAGCAAAAGAACAAAAAGTAAACATATATACAGAGAGCCGTTATGCATTTGCAACGGCCCACGTCCATTGGGAAATTTATAGAAGAATAGGACTGCTAATTTCTGCTGGAAAAGAAATTAAAAATAAGACTGAAATCCTGGGACTATTAAAGGCCCTCTTCCTACCCAAGAAGGTGAGCATTATTCATTGCCCAGGACATCAGGAGGGCGATGATCCTATTGCCAAAGGAAACCAGATGGCAGATGAGATGGCTAAAAAGGCCGCACTTAACTCAGAAATATTATCCTTGGCAGAGGCACCCCCCACACACAGAAGATCATTTCCAATATTCAGCCCAGGATTTAGAGGCTATTCAGAAACTTAATGCAGACTTTGATGAACAACAAAAAGCTTGGAAATATCAGGGCAAAACCGTGTTGCCCAAGAAAGATGCTTTTGAGCTGGTCACTCAGATGCATCGATGGACTTATTTAGGACATAAAAAGATTAAATATCTTATGGAAAAGACAGATTTTTATTTTTTTTATTTTTATTTTTTAAATATTTATTTATTATGTATACAATATTCTGTCTGTGTGTATGCCTGCAGGCCAGCAGAGGGCACCAGACCCCATTATAGATGGTTGTGAGCCACTATGTGGTTGCTGGGAATTGAACTCAGGACCTTTGGAAGAGCAGGCAATGCTCTTAACCTCTGAGCCATCTCTCCAGCCCCCAAGACAGATTTTTATATTCCAGGTCTTAACTCACTCATACAGCAAGTGACATCAACTTGTGTCCCCTGCGCCAAGGTAAACGCAAAACGGCAAAGTGCCCCGTAGGGCATAAGAATAAGGGGAGACCGACCTGGTACTCATTGGGAAGTGGACTTTACTGAAATAAGGCCAGGAAAATATGGTAATAAATATCTCCTAGTTTTTATAGACACCTTCTCCGGTTGGACTGAAGCTTTCCCCACCAAACGAGAAACGGCTCAAATGGTGGTGAAGAAGATACTAGAAGATATTTTTCCTCGGTTTGGCCTGCCCAAGGTAATCGGGTCTGACAACGGCCCAGCCTTTGTCTCCCAGGTAAGTCAGGGTGTGGCCAAGACACTGGGGATTAATTGGAAATTACATTGTGCATACAGACCCCAGAGTTCAGGACAGGTAGAAAGGATGAATAGAACCATAAAGGAGACTTTATCCAAATTAGCTTTGGAATCTGGCGTTAGAGACTGGGTACAACTCCTTCCCCTAGCCCTGTTCCGGGTGCAGAACACCCCTTCTCGGCTTGGACTTACCCCCGTGAGATCCTATATGGGGGGCCTCCCCCATTGGCCTCCTTTACGGCCCCTCCTGACCCCGTTACTCACAAACCTGATTTGCAGACGTGGCTAAAAGCACTTCAGATCGTCCAGGCCCAAGTGTGGAGACCCCTAGCTGCTGCCTACCAGCCTGGGCATCCGGAGATCTCGCATCCGTTCCAGGTTGGCGAATCTGTGTACGTTCGGAGACATCGGTGCCAGAACCTTGAACCTTGCTGGAAGGGACCCTACACCATGCTTCTTACGACACCTACTGCCCTCAAAGTGGACAGTATTGCAGCCTGGATCCACGCGTCTCACGTCAAGCCGGCACCTCCACAGGACGACCCAGAACTTTCCAAATGGAAGCTTCAGAGTACCCAAAATCCTCTAAAACTGAGACTAGTCAAGGAAGCCTGATCCTACCAGGCTTGTTGTTCTTTGCCCTGGTGTTTCCTTCCACATATAGTGCTAAAAACCCCATACACCTCAGGACTTAACTTGGACTCTAACTTTAAGACTGGGCAGATCTTGAGGCTAGCCACTGGAGTTCATCCTCTAGATACCTGGTTCCCCCAGCTAAAGTTTGACCTATGTGCTCTAGCAAAAGACTCTTGGGGGGATACTGAACGAACTCCCTACATGTAGATATTCTACTAAATAAGGAGAACCCAAAGAAAAACATATAGGCATCCTCCTGAATATTAACTTTCATCAGGCGATGAAAGGAGACAGAGATATTCTGAATGGTATATTTGTCCTGGGGAAAGATGAACTTGGCAGTGGGGGGGGGACGGGGGGGCTGAAGTGTTTTATTGTGCTGCCTGGGGATGTGAAACCAGTGTCAGTACCTCCTGGTTGGGGGCTAGCAAAGAAGACTTAGTCTCTTTCACTCATACCACATCAGGGGAATCTGAAATCACAATCACCTTCACGGAGAAAGGAAAAAAGGTTAGTTGGTTAACAGGCAATATTTGGGGTTTACAGTTGTATAATCCAAGAGGGGAAGACATAGGAATTCTTTTCACCCTACGAATTGTTATAACACCTCCCATGACCATAGCACTAGGGCCCAACCCGGTATTGCCTGACCAGGGACAGCTAGCCCTGGCTGAGGTGGCTCCATCCCTTACCAGGGCCCTGGGTCCCCCTTCAAGTCCTAAAAATCCTTCTGCTACCCCTGCTTCACCGCTGGCACTCTCTAATACAGGCCAGCAACTGTTTAATCTACTAGTGGGAGCTTTTTCATTGCTGAATAGTACTGACCCCAATATGACACAATCTTGCTGGCTATGCCTGTCAGCAGGACCCCCATACTACGAAGGGATTGCAATATCTGGGGGTTTCAATAACACAACTAGCCAGGACAGCTGTGCTTGGGGAGTTAGTCATAGACTAACTCTTACAGAGGTTACTGGTGCAGGGACATGCTTGGGAAATCCACCGGCTGCTTACAAACATTTATGTAATGAGACCCTGAAGAGCCCTAAAACTGACGGGCGGTGGTGGCGCACGCCTTTAATCCCAGCACTTGGGAGGCAGAGGCAGGCGGATCTCTGTGAGTTCCAGACCAGCCTGGTCTACAAGAGCTAGTTCCAGGACAGGCTCCAAAACCACAGAGAAACCCTGTCTCGAAAAAAAAAAACAAAAACAACAACAACAACAAAAAAAAAAGAGCCCTAAAACCGGATACCTGATCCCTGATTCAGACAAATGGTGGGCTTGTAGTACAGGCCTGACGCCTTATGTGGCAACATCGGTTTTTGACGGTACCAAAGATTACTGTGTGCTTGTTCGACTAGTTCCAAGGGTCTTTTATTATCTTTTTTTTTCTTTAGATTTATTTATTTATTATGTACACAGTGTACAGCCTCCATGCCTGCAAGCCAGAAGAAGGCACCAGATCTCATTACAGATGGTTGTGAGCCATCATGTGGTTGCTGGGAATTGAACTCAGGACCTCTGGAAGAACAGTCAGTGCTTCTAACCTCTGAGCCATCTCTCCAGCCCCTCTTTTATTATCTTGCTAACACATTTGAGGATGAATTTGACAGGCACCCGAGCGGTTATCAGCGAGAGCCTATCTCCATGACTCTAGCAGTGATCTTGGCCCTGGGGGTGGCAGCCGGTGTTGGCACCGGTACTACTGCTCTAGTACAGAGTTCCAAAATTCCCCAACATTTTGAGGAATTAAGAGCAGCTATTGACCAGGACTTAAGGGCCCTAGAACAATCTATCACCAAGCTTGCAGATTCAATAATCTCTCTTTCTGAGGTAGTGTTACAAAATAGGCGTGGGTTAGACTTGCAATTTCTTCAAGAAGGAGGACTCTGTGCTGCCCTAAAGGAACAATGTTGTTTCTACGTAGACCACTCTGGGGTAATTAAAGATTCGATGGCTAAGTTCAGAGAGAGGTTAGACAAGAGACAGAGAGACAGAGAGGCACATCAAAATTGGTTTGAAGGCTGGTTTAACCGCTCCCCCTGGTTCACAACACTCATTTCCACCATCACTGGTCCCTTGATCATTCTATTACTCATCCTAACCTTTGGGCCCTGTATCCTCAATCAACTCCTGATGTTCATTCGTGAGCGACTTAGCATTACTCAAGCTTTGGTGTTGACCCAGCAATATCATGCCCTTAGGGATAATCCCTGAGAATCTCAAGATTGAGATTTGACCAAATCAAAGGGGGGAAATGAAAGACTTTGAGGCACCTTAGCACTACTGCACCCCCCTTCCTGGGAACCAGGACCCTGGTAACCAACCACGCGTGCACGGGAGCTTTGAGTACTTTCCATCCCCATTGTAGTCTTTCTTCAATAGACCCG